TGAACTCTTCATTTTCAAGGCCCTATGTCATTCAGTCCCAGAGATATGGGGATCTCAATGCAGCTCCATATTCAGAAATTGATATTTTAGTATGATTTTAGATTATGGTTCCTAAAAAAACTTTTCTTTTGTTTTCTTCATTTTTAAGGCCCTGTATGGTTTAATATTGGGATCTCATATGGTTCCATGCTCAAATTGTTTAATCCTACCCATTTCAGTTATCAAAAAACAAATTTGATTTTGTGTTTATCCAATCATGACCACTGGCACTGCAAATTTGCAGATAATAACAGTAGTCCAGGGTTTAAGATTGTACAGTGTGACACGTCAGATTATGAATGACCATTAATAGTTAACTCCAGGTAAAGTATGAATAGTGTGAAACGTAAAATAAGATTACCCAGGATCCCATTTACTCAGGGATTAGAATTACCCAGTGTCAATTATTTCAAGTGTGAGAGACCTTGAATATTTCAAGGTTTGAGGTACTATCAGTGATTCTTCCAAATATACCCGTTAGCAGTGGATTTTGATCTATGATTATGCTTCAAATAGCAAAAAAAAGAAAAATACATTTTAATACTTAATCCAGGTGATGCAAATCTTGGTTTTTTTATGTGAATACAAAGTGTGGGGAGACAGAGCAACCACTTTTCCCATATGAGGCATGGCATTTGTTTCAAACATGTTGTTACGATACAGAACTCTTGGTAGCTTCAGAAGCTGTTAACATGGATCTGGATATGGAGCAACATTGAGATCCCCATATTTCTGGGACTGAATGACATAAGGCCTTGAAAACTAAGATTTCAAAAGAAAAGTTTATTAAGAACTATAAAATAAAATCATATTGAAATATATTTAATCCTTCTTGAGTTACAGGCACACAAACATTGGAAAAAGAATATTAATGGCACTCAGGCATTCAATGCAGTTGTTTTGACAGAAAGAAACAAGATATGTTTCTAGTTTCAACATTATTTGTTCTTCAGACATTCCTCTTTAAAAGAAAAGAAGTATCATATTTATGCAAAGTGACCCACTTTTGGTTTTTGATCATGAAAACGTGTACAATTTAACAATATACTCCTGGAGGCAAATTGAAATTCCAATATCTCTATAACTCAACCATATAGGGTTTATCTTTTTTATTATTAATCTTAAAAATGAAGATGCCAAAAGGAAAGTTTGTTAAGACCCAATATCTAAAAGGGCATTAAGATATCTTTACTTCTTGAGCCATGCAAACTTACAGACATGCAAACTTCAGAGAAAAAACTTGAAAAGTGCTTTTTCCCCATTTTTGAATGGTAACCATTGGAACATAATGCAACAAAGATTGATAAATTCAACAGATTTGACTAATAGACCTACCAATCTCTGTGTAAAATTAACATAATGATGCTGCCATTTTTCTGAAGTCATTTTTACCCCCCTGTAATTTGGCTCTGAATCTCAAGTGAAAATTGTAATTTTGACCCCCCCTCTACAAAATAGTGGATTACTCAGTAAATATACATAGATGACATTTAATATTTTGGCTTTCTTCTTCATTTAGCTATTTCTTTCACCAGAAAAAAAGATTAACAAAATCAAAAATTTGAGCTGGGGACCTCTGGTTGAGTTGACCCGGGATGATCCAAAAAGTAAATAAATGTAAATAAATTAAATAGTGGTTAAAGTTGAAATTATAATGCAAGATGAAAGACAGTGATATCAAAGTGATATAAGAGACATAATAATAACACACAGTGTAGAAATTTGCCAGGGACTGTAATATACAATAAAAAAAGGCCAGAAAACTGAATTAATTTAATAATTTATTTATAATTTATTAAATGAATTAAGGTTTTTGACCTTTTTTTACTGTATATTAACTATGAATTATGTTTTTTTACACATAAACAATTGTTTCACACTTTATTGCTTCATCAATAAGTCTGTAGCAGATGGGTGAGTAAGTAATTAGAGAATTTCATTTTAGGGTGGAGTATCTAACTCGAAGATATTGCTGTGTGTGCACGTAAGCAATTGTGCGGAAAACCCTTATCAGCCTGTTTTAGGTGTGGTTAATGCAAATGACTAGATACGAGTAAACGTTCCTTCATATTTATCTAACTGACGGTGCGTTCCAAATGGGATATATCGCCCTCCGAAGAGCACTTCAGAGTGAAAACAATCATGGCCACCATATTGAAGGGTCTTTCCAAACCGAAGTGCTCAAAACTGGCCACTTCAGAAGGTCCTCTGGAATGAAAGATTTCGAGGGGTACAACTGATGGACACTTCAGGCTCCCATGATCCTTTGCACAGGGAAGTTGGTTGGTGTCACAGAGTTCGACTTCGCCCATAAATGTAGAATATTTTTCTATAGTACTTTAATATTTTTATGAGTTCGATTTGGTACATTATTATGGTCAATACGACATTAGAATCAGAATCAGAATGAGCTTTATTGCCAGGTATGTTTTCACATACGAGGAATTTGTTTTCATGACAGAAGCTTCCGCAGTGCAACAGAATGATAGCAACAGAACAAAAACACAGATAATAAAAGAAGAATAAAATTAAAAAAAAATAGAACAAGTAAATAAGGAATAACAATATATAAATTGACAATTGTATGTGCAGGTGTATTACAATAGACAGTTTTGTATGTACAGCTATATTATGTGCAAATTTGAGGTGTAGGTGTGTGTGTGTTAGATAAATAAGTGTATGAGTGTATAAATAGTGTTGTGTGTTCCAAAATTATTGTCAATTACTAGATACGGGTAAAATTACTAGTCAATGGGTTTGAGTATACAAAAACTAAGATCCTTTTTCCCTTACTTCACTTTTTGGTCCACCTAAATGTCACCTAAAAAAGGGACACATGACAGTGATACATTAACTATAGTGAACTGTACTCACTTAAATGTAGGGGACTCTAAAGTCACAAAAATAAACAGAGTTACAACATTATTCACGCATTCTGAACCGTAAAGTTCTCAGGCATCTCAATAGAATAATTAACATAGTGTCAGCGATAAAACCGGCAAATTAACCATTACATAACTTCATAACTTAATTTGAATTCATTTCACAACCAATATCACGCATATTTTGAACAGAAAAACATAATAACTCACTGATTACTGTGTCTTCTCAACTTGATTTTACTGGGTTCGTTTTTGCTGTATGCTGTCCAGTAAACAAGGTCCTCTTCTGTGAAGTTCCATTTCCAGAGAGATAATTAAGGCAATCTGGAAGAAAACTAAAACTTCTTGATGTGGGTGGAGCAACTTATTCACACAGTTACACTTATTGCTCAGTTAACGAGAATGAGGTCTCTGCAGACCAAAAGTGGGCATTTCAGACTGTTTTCAACTGGTGGGTGTTTCTAAATCATGCAATGAAAATGACAGTCTCAATGAAAATGAGACTGGACTAATTTGAATTAAAAAGTAAGACTGGTTACCTTTTGGCTAACTGCTAGGTCAAACTAGTTCTTAAGACATTTGGTGTGTTCGACTTGAAGCGGCGGTGCGCAGCCCGATCGGCGTATGACATCAAAGTACAGCGAGAGTGTTTGGAGAGCAGACGAGTCTTTAAGCTTTTGAATCGCTCTCGCTTTACTTTGATGTCATACGCCGATCGGTCTGCGCAGCGCCGCTTCAAGTAGAACACACCTACAGTCTCAACAAAGTGGCTAAGTTTATGCAACTGGCCCCTGGTCGAAAACGCCCCTCTGTTTTGGCCTCGCCCACCGATCTGGTAACTCCCATTATTTTTATGCAGAGACCTATACTTGCAGTTAACGGCTGCAGTGAACTTTGTATTGGTTGTTTTTTACAGCAATAACACATAAGTATATTTGAATAAAATTTGCATTTGTATTCTAATTCGATGCTTTCTTTATTTTATTTTATTTTTTTACTGATAACTTTTGCTTCATATCATTGATATTATAGGCCTATCTATTAACATTTGTTAACATTATTAACAATATATATTAATATTTCTATAAATGTATGTGTGTATGTACACACACAAAATGTGTTCGTACTTGGCTGCCATAACTGTACTGAATTGATGTCTCTGGCATAAACCATAAATTAGTGTTATATTTTTAAAACAAAATGTTCTTATCTATGGTGTTCTTCAACAGTGGTTCTCAAATGGTAATCATATCACTGCCAAAATCTGATATGCTTAACTGAGTACACAAAGATCTAATGCATTTCAGAATGAAACATGCTGATATGGTATGCTTTGTTCCTAATGTCTGGACTGAATGACTATATTTGTGCTTGGGAAATCTTACTAAAAGCATTTCCAAACATGCTCCATTAACACAGCAATATGGAGGGAGGGTAGAGGGTGCCTTTTCAGTGGCAGTATTATTTTCAAATTCAATAAGTGAGCCCCTTCAGAAATGAAAATTGTATATAATTATCTCGCCTGTGCAATTACCCATTGGATGTAATTGGAGTGGCACTTGCAACTTGTCTTCAACATGCCAGATGCACAAGGAAATATTTTCATGTAGCAGTAGCTTGTGATACTAAATAGTTGCACTTGCTGATATGAATGTATTTCAGGAGAAAAAAAAAGAAACAAGCCTGAAAACATGAAATGAGAGATGTGGTTTCACTCAGCTAGCTAATTACATGTTAAATGGCTTATTACAAAACAAATATGCCTGAGGTTTAGCTGACTGTTAAAGGTTTCAAATAACATGAAGTCCCAAGTCAATAAGACTAACTGATTCAATATTAACTAATACTGGGGGAAAAAAGGCAGTATTTCAGTTAACTGAAAATCAATAAGCTGAGAGCGAGTAATTGACTTTCTTTCAGAATGACCAGTCTTAAATTTAAGTATGTGTGACCGAGTGGATAATAAGGATGGTGTACGGGGTGGGGCCATAGGTATTTATTTTGCCCTATAAATAGCGCAAAGGTTGGTAGGTTGCTTAATTTCCTGACGTTTGATCCTTTGCGTCTCCTTCCGGGTGTTGTGACCCTGAAGCGCTATAGCGAGGTATGAGCGTGGCGTTTGTTTAGATGCTGTAAGAGCTTATATAAGGACGTTTTTGTTTTTTACATGGTTTATTCTATGTTAATTGCAGAGAGATAACCCCCTGATGCAAGAGTGTGAGCGCGTGGACTGTGTGTAATATTATACAAGTTGCGGACGCCGTGTTTCGCCTATAGCAACGAGCCGTATCACGCAGGGTTTCTATTCCACTCTATTATGCAGCGTTTCTAGTCCACTTTTGGATTACGGCAGAGGTATGTGTTTGCGTTAGATGGTTAGGTTTGTTATAGTGATCATATTTATGTATAATTATTGGGTGATGTAAAGGATTGTTGAGTGGTTACATCGCTGTGTTAGTTGCGCTGTGACAGGTGTTTATTTGTGTTTTTATATTGTTTGTTTATTTAGTTTGTTAAAGATTGATAGTTCTGTCAGGACCACTATCGTCAGAATGATAGATACTTAGCATAAAGTTTGGTTTGGCGGTATGATTCTGTTCTGGGCAAAAAACCTCCCTGCCCATCCATGCAGCCTGTCATGAATGAGCAGGGAGAGCAGCAATAATAACCCCCCTAGGGTTAACAGAACAGAACAATGCAGATATCATTAATGTACTCAATGATATTTAAGTGTAACACTTTATTCAAGATAAAGGAGTCTGATTAGCAAGGAATATCAGAAAGCTAAGTCCTGACTGTGGCAAAAGGTGGAGCTGGGGATGGAGGAGGGTAATTTGCTCCGAAGCAAGCTAAAAAGCTGCTGAATAATACTGAATACAGCTTATATAGGAATGCCGCGATAGGTGTCGTATTCCTATAGGTAGATGTGATCAGCTGAGAATCAGCTAATGCAAGCTTGACTCACGTGACCTGCCAGAACTAACGCTAAAGCTTAATTTCTGTCAGGACCACTATCGTCAAAATGATAGATACTTAGCATAAAGTTTGGTTTGGCGGTATGGTTCTGTTCTGGGCAAAAAACCTCCCTGCCCATCCATGCAGCCTGTCATGAATGAGCAGGGAGAACAGCAATAATAACCCCCCAGGGTTAACAGAACAGAACAAGGCAGATATCATTAATGTACTCAATGATATTTAAGTGTAACACTTTATTCAAGATAAAGGAGTCTGATTAGCAAGGAATATCAGAAAGCTAAGTCCTGACTGTGGCAAAAGGTGGAGCTGGGGATGGAGGAGGGTAATTTGCTCCGAAGCAAGCTAAAAAGCTGCTGAATAATACTGAATACAGCTTATATAGGAATGCCGCGATAGGTGTCGTATTCCTATAGGTAGATGTGATCAGCTGAGAATCAGCTGATGCAAGCTTGACTCACGTGACCTGCCAGAACTAACGCTAAAGCTTAATTTCTGTCAGGACCACTATCGTCAAAATGACAGATACTTAGCATAAAGTTTGGTTTGGCGGTATGGTTCTGTTCTGGGCAAAAAACCTCCCTGCCCATCCATGCAGCCTGTCATGAATGAGCAGGGAGAGCATTTTTAACGCGCTGCTTGTACTGCTTAGAATAATTGGACTATATTTAAATCCCTTGAGTCAATTTGAGCGCTCAGTCATAACCTTCCAATCACCACCGAAGTGTTTTATTTTTTTTTATAAATGAACATAGCTTGATCTCAGCCAGTTGATCATGCTTAAATCAACACATCACCCTAATTTCTCATGCTCATATGCTCACATTACTCAGCGTGAGCACATATTCAAGCGGATCAGAAATTATGAATCTCTAATAAGTGGCAGTCCAGCAGGGGAAGCATACACTGCGGAAATACTTCGAATGACGGTCATTAATATTACATTCTTATATGTATAGAAGCCATTAGGAGCGATAAACGCGTGCTTCTGACCGCAAACTCACACAGCTAATGAAACATCAACCTTAGAAATAAACAACCGTAACATTGAGATTATGCCGCTCAATACAGCGAACCCCAGTTGAAACGCATACACGAGAATGCGTGTTTCATTTAAACTTGTTCTCATGGCCTTAACTATCGGTGTGTCCTCAGAGCGATTGCATGCTCTAGACTACGTGTTGCTCCAGCTGTATGAACACAGATGCGTAAATGCTGCTGCAAATATGCTTTTTTCAATTAGCAGACCAGGTAATATACACAGCGATATGGATTAAAACAGCATTCACTTATCTTAGATGTGGATTTTAGATGTTCTGAAATTTGAAAAATAGATGCTTAATTTGCTCCGAAGCAAGCTAAAAGCTGCTGAATAATACTGAATACAGCTTATATAGGAATGCCGCGATAGGTGTCGTATTCCTATAGGTAGATGTGATCAGCTGAGAATCAGCTGATGCAAGCTTGACTCACGTGACCTGCCAGAACTAACGCTAAAGCTTAATTTGTTTTGTATTTATGTTTTTGTTTTTCTGTTTGACAGATCTTCCTCTGTGGAGTTCTATGCATATGGACCTCTGATGTCTAAAACTTATTTTTTATATAAGTTTTAAGCTGATGGTCATATGCTGATTTTTTTTCCCCCAGGTATAAAAAATAAGTTTTAAGCAAAACAGCAGGGCCTAGACATCAGAGGTTCATATGCATAGAACTCCACAGAGGAAGAGCCAACACAGGAGTAATAATCAGACACGCCTTCAAATCTTGAAAACTCTTTTCACAGGCCAGGGTCCAGGCACTGCTTACAGGTCTCTGCGCACCCTTTTTGTCCTTACTTCCACCCAGTTCTCCAATCAGATGGCACAATGGGGCTGCAATTACTGAGAAATCTTTAACAAATCATCTATAGTAACTAGCGAACCCTAAAAAAGATCTTAATGCTGCTACATCCGTTGGTCGAGGCCAGTTAGCTACAGCCGCAATCTTCTCAGGGTCAGTAGAAACCCCCTCGTTAGACATCACATGCCCCAGATACTTTACCTCCGTCTTGAAGAAACAGCACTTCTCCAACTTTACCTTCAGACCTTCCTGATGAAGCCGACTCAAAACCTCGTCCAAACGTTCCAAATGTTGATCTATAGAGCAGGAAAATACAATCAAATCGTCTGTGTAAAGCAACAGAGTTTGGAAGTGCTGGGACCCAAACATGCGCTCCATGAGTCGCTGAAATGTACTTGGTGCATTGGATAGCCCAAAGGGCATACGATTAAATTCGAACAGCCCAAATGGGGTACAGAAAGCAGTCTTACATTTATCCTTCTCTTCAACAGGCACCTGATTGTAACCGCTTGCCAGGTCTAAAGTTGAAAACCAGCGAGCACCTGAAAGGGCATCAAGGGACTCCTAAATTCGAGGGAGAGGAAAAGCATATCTCAGAGTCTTGCGATTAAGCTGGCGATAATCCACACATAGACGCAGAGCACCATCTTTTTTCTTCACTAAACCTATGGGGGATGCATAGGGGCTGCAACTCTCCCTTATTACCTGACTTTCTAAGAGTTGATTTATATGTGCCTTTACCGCCTCATATTCAGCAGGTGGAATACGCCTATACCTTTGTCGTACGGGGACCTCATCAGTTAAAGGAATCTCATGACATGGTAGTGCAGCCTAAATCTCCCTTGTGGGGAGCAAACACTGACTGATATTTTGTCAACAGTGCAATAACCCTACTCTGCTCTGATTCAGAGAGGGTGGACAAGTCAACTGACTGTATCAGCTGCTGTACTTTACCAACTTGCCCCGTTTGCATACCAACCATAGCCTGAACTTCCCCAACCCCCAATGAAAAGGGAATCTCCTCAACCCCAGCAGGTAAGCTAACTAGTTGAGCTGGCTTCAAAGTCCCTAAAGCACAGCGTGAAGGAACACAAGCATCCATACTGCTAACGTTAATCACAGGAACATAAGCAGTACCCTTAAGCACCTGTACTACAGCAGGGACTACTAGTACTCCAGCAGGAAGCACAACATTAGAAAATGGCTCAAAAACAACAGTCTTAGACTGGTCAATAAGCTGCTGAGAGCAGGTAGCCGCCACTAATTTCACGGTTCCCTCTGGTAAGTGAACAGGGTACCTACCCCTAACTCTTGCAATCCCAGTACTGGGCCTAACAGATGAAGGAGCATCATGACAAAACTGGAGCACCTGTTGCCACTCCTTAGGGGCCTGCTGGACACATGGGAGGCTGAAAAGAGAAGCACCATGCTGACTAAACAGCAAATCATAACACTCACTAATAATGTTCATTCCCAAAACACCTGGAATTTTTGTTTTGGACCACAAACTAGGTGTGTCTTTTACAACAAGGATCCCCTTATTTGGTATAACTTTTCCCAAAACCTCTACATTCACTTCAACATAGGGTATATCAAGCCCATTAGCAGCTCTGAGTTGTAACCAATTACAAGAATGGAACACTTGGAAGTCACATCCCGCATCACACAAGCATATCCTGCCGACTACGCCAGATGTAACCGAGCAATAGCCAATGATCAACTTGATTCCGACTACGCCACCGGGGTTAGATACCCACGGAAATAATTAAACACAGCAACACAAGTTCTATAGCTAGTGAATGAAGAACAGAGATGTGACCTTCAAGGACAACACTTTTATTTACAATCAGTACTGAAATCTCAGCGTAAGCGATCAACTTCACATTTATAACCATCTAAAAACTCAGTTTTAAGATGTCTAGACTCCCAAGTCAAATATTAAAATTGTAACCCACAATTCCTGTATGCAAGATCAACCAAGCCTGTGGGAAGAAAAAGAAGTCGTCACTGGGCCAAAGACCCACAACCTCAAGAGCACACACCACACGTACACTAACGTGCACCAACCAACAAATTTGAAAAGGTGTAGTGAATAATACAAATAACTCTACACTCTCAAATCAGTACCCATGCAGTGCAGAAAAACCTCACGCCACATGCAGTAGAGGAAAGACCCAGATGACCCCAAAGGAAAGTACATGCAGGCTGGCTCCTAGAATATAGAAAAATGGGTTAAAAACTCCCCTTTTCTCCACACATCATGTAGACCCCTAGCGGTTGGTACAAACAGGACACAGCTGACAAAATCAATAATAACAGATAAAAAAAATTACTTAAAAAAACATCAGCATATGACCATCAGCTTAAAACTTATATAAAAAATAAGTTTTAAGCAAAACAGCAGGGCCTAGACATCAGAGGTCCATATGCATAGAACTCCACAGAGGAAGATCTCTGCCGTAATCCAAAAGTGGACTAGAAACATTGCATAATAGAGTGGAATAGAAACCCTGCGTGATACGGCTTGTTGCTATAGGCGAAACACGGCGTCCTCAACTTGCATAATATTACAAACAGTCCACGCGCTCACACTCTTGCATCAGGGGGTTATCTCTCTGCAATTAACATTGAATAAACCATGTAAAAACTAAAACGTCCTTATACAACTCTTACAGCATCTAAACAAACGCCACGCTCATACCTCGCTATAGCGCTTCAGGGTCACAACACCGGAAGGAGACGGAAAGGATCAAACGTCAGGAAATTACGCAACCTGCCAACCTTTGTGCTATTTATAGGGCGAAATAAATACCTATGCCCCACCCCGTACACCATCCTTATTATCCACTCGGTCACATCTGCATGAAAAAATTATTGTAAATCCTTTAAAATTTTTGTGTTGACCTGAGCTCCATTTTGTGAAGCAGGCTGACTTGTTTGCTGGTGCATTGCAGCAAAACCAATCAGTGGGGCTGTTTGTGGGGAAGTCAAGTACACCCCATTCACTGGAGGTGAATGAGGCCTAATGACACTCCTAGACTCTGACTCACTCCATGCAATTTCCCCTCACATACCTTCAATCCCCCTCCCTCCATTCCTCACTGCCCCGTCTTTGGCACTCTCCCTGTTTCGAAATGTCAACCATGAGGTAAAATAACTGACTGGCTGACTGGATGGTAATTGTATTGCTTAATAATTGATAGGCTGAGTGTTGATGCTGCTGCTGGGCTGGAAGAAGGAGAGAGATCACCTTTCTGGCTTTTCACTGCTCACAGTCAAATTTCTATACAACACTAGTATGATAGCCATTTCACTACATGATGATACTGATGCTGATATAATTAAAAATGGATTGAGGCCTTAAACCTGAGTTAAACGTCTTTACTTCACTGTTCATAAAAACTAAATTAAATTAAAATAAAATACTATTGTTTTCAGAAAGGATTAGATAGATGCGAATACTGATAGGGTGCACGGTGTCATGCACACAAATACAAAACACCATAATGGTAACATACATTACACTAATATAATGCAATAAACAACATAATGCAATTTAACATAAGATGTAACCTAAAACCATAATGCAATTACCCATTTCATGATAACTGATGACAAAAACTAAGAAGAAACTATCATTTAAGCAAAAAAAAACCCATAAAAATCTCAAGCGTCACATATAAAATTCTCGGAATGTAAATTTCTGGTTTTTCACTGTAAATTATAAAACTAATTTCTCCTGTCCAAAAAAATGTAAATTTAATACAAGAAATTACATTAAATGTCTTGTTAGATTTAATTACAGTTTTTTCATTGTGTATAATAAAGAAAGGAGGATGTGGAGGACTTGCAGGAGAGGGAACCAGGGGAGAAGGTGGATGGAGAGACCAGAGTGGAGCTGATGGTGGGAGTAGCCATGGAGGAGCCAGGAGCAGGAGGAGCCAGGTGGAGATTCAGAGAATAGGCAAGTCTGAGGGCCAATGGTCGAGTCGAGGGAGGAGCCATGGTAGATAAGGCCTTGACAACACCATGGGTACAAGCAATTGAGTCTGAGCCACTGGAGGTGAAGACCCAGGTGGAGCAGAGCAGACAGAGAGCCCGGGTGACACCAGAGGTCCAGAGGGCCAAGGCGGAGTTGACGGCTCAGGCGACCGAGGCGGAGATGGGGAATCGAAAGACTGCAGCAGAGCCAGAGCAACTGAGAACAATGGTGGAGCCGGAGGGAAGGAGGAGCCAGACGGAGCCAGAGGGATGGAGGGACGAGGTGAAGCCAGAGGAGTGGAATCCCATAGCGGAGGAAGGTCGAGGACTGACTAAGGTGGAGCCGGAGGGACGAGGGAACCTGTTGGAGTCACTGGGAATACGGGCAACGGTGGAGACGAGGGAAGAAGGAGCCAAGGCAGAGATGATGGGTCGGAGGACCGACATGGAGTCCAGGAATCAAAGGCTGGAGGTGGAGACAGGGGATCCTCATGCCCAAGCAGAACTGGAGACTGGAAGGCAGAACTGGAGACTGGAAGGAAACAGGAGCAAATGTAGCACACAAAGTGGTAAAGCAAAAAAAAGAAAAAAAGTATTGTAGGTGGGGGGAGTGAATGTACAGCGCTCTCTCCCACCTTCAATACCATGACTGAGGTGCCCTTGAGCAAAGCACCGAACTCCCAACTGCTCCCCGGGCGCCGCAGCAAGAAAATGGCTGCCCACTGCCCTGGGTGTGTGTTCACTGCTGTGTGTGTTCACTGCTGTGT